ATTCTCCTCTTTATTCTCCTCTCTTCCTCTCTCCTCTCTCTCTCTCTCTCTATCTATCTCTCTCTCTTCTCTCTCTCTTCTCTCTCTCTATTTATTTATTTATTTATTTAATTTATATTTTATTTTACTTATTTATTTATCTTTTAGGGGAGATTCTTTTTGGTCCCGTTGTGTGTGGACTCAAGAGATTTTTAGTTTTAAATATATCCTTAATGGATTCATTATATCTTTTCCTGATTTCCCTATAGATTTTTTGCCTCTTAAGCAAAGAAAAGTGATGTTTAATTTATTTTTTTCTGTATTATCCGATTTTTTTTATTCATCATCATTTAATCGTTTTTTTTGTCACACTTCGCCCTGCCAATACTAGGAACACCATTAATATTGCACGCATAAATTGTCCTCATTTCCTCCCACTTTGCACAGCCCTCGGCGAGACTCAAAAGAACCGAACATTTCAGGAACAAAATGAACATTCACCATCCATCACTGTCTGTTTATTATTTATTGATCTCTATCGTTTTGCTTTTTGCGTTTTTTTCTCTAAACTGTTTTATCACAAATTTTAGATTTTTATTGAAATTTCCATCACTGTCTGTTTATTATTTATTGATCTTTATCTTCGTTTTGCTTTTATTTAACTTCGTTTTGACTTTCTCTCCAAACTGTCGACAGGCCTGACAGATCGACAGTCAGCTTTATTGCTTATTCTTGTAAGCTTTGGATGTGTCCCGTGTTTGTTATTTATTCCTTATCCTCTTCGTGAGTGTTTATTCTATTTATTCATTTCATTCATGATTCCTCGCCTGCCAAATGGACTTCGTCTTTGATTCAAAACAGTTCATGCGTTCTGTCCTGTTTCACTTGCATTTTCCGACATTGCAACATTTCGCAAGCCCAATTAGTCTCTTAGGTTCTGAGATTCGAGAGATTTTTTTTTTTTTTTTGTGAACTTTAGCCCAAAGTGCTACTTCCTGCCTGCTGAGAGGTATATTTCGTTGCATAATTACCGCAGGACTCCTTTGCGCGTTATTTTGGGCTGTGGGTGTTGGCCGGTTCGGAGTCGATCTGCTTTCAAGAGGATTATCATGAAACTCCTTTTCTGATTATCTAATTTGTTATACATTCTTAACGAAGTTCAAGCACGCGATGAATACTTACGGACTTATACATATTTATCTATCTATCTATCGTATATATGATCATATATACATGACACACACACACGGGTTCTGGTGTGTCCTGTATATACATATATAGACATATTAAGTGTGTATGTATTATGTATGTTATATATATAAATATATATA